GTGTCGACTCTTGGAGACATTGAGGAAACAGAGCCTTAGACTCATAAAAAGTCTCCACATTTGGGTTGACAAGCTTGGGATTTTCATGAGTGCTAGAATTTGGATTTCCAGGAGTGACTTTTGGATTAGAGAGAAGATTTGGATTTTTGGAAGGAAGGTTGTTCCATCTTTCTCTCCATCAACCTTGTTGTCCACAACTCGACCACTCCTAAGGGTGGTGATTACTTGGACTTGTTCATGAGTTAGCCCACTCGGAGGAGGGGTTTCATCAATCACATGAATCCCTCTAGGATTCTCAAATGGTTAAGCGGGAAGCTTCCCTTTATCTCTTTGAAGGAGCTGGTTCATTGAAGTGGCTATTTGCCCCACTTGATTCTCAAGTTTAGCAAAAGACTAAGTGTGGGAATGAACCATTTGGAGAGTGGGATGCAAAGATGACAAGAGTTGCTTGTTGGATTCCATCATTTGCTTATTTAGAGATTCCATCATTTGTTTATTTGCAGCCATAATCTCATTCATTGGGAATACAGGAGGTTAATTAGAGACATTTGGATTATAAGTGGGATGGTAGCTTAAAGAGGCCTGAAATTGCCTATTTTGAAATTGAGAAAAGGGCTGATTTTGATGCCTTTGATTTTGGAATTGAGAATTTTGTGGGGCTTGTTGCCACCACGAAAAATTCGGATGATCTCTCCATCCCAGATTGTAAGTATTGGAATATGGATTATTTCCAGGTCTTGAGAACATGGCATTGGCTTGCTCTTGATTGGGATTAGAAAATTGCTCCAGTGTGGGGCAATCTTCCGAGAGATGAATAGGACTAGTGCATAATGCGTAAACCGCACTTGTCGAATTTTGAGACAAAGAGGGAGAGAGATGTGGTGCCATCAATTGATAGAATTTATGAGCTATGGCATCCATTTGAGATGATTCTTCCCTCATTGTCATTGGTTGACAAGGTTTAGTGTTCTTTGTATTGGTTGAGGTTGTGGCACTACGAGAATTATGCTGCAATGAGTTCTCACTCAAATTCTCAAGTAAAGTCCATGCCTCATCTGCACTTTTAGACATGAACATCCCTCCACAAGATGAGTTAACCATGAATCTATGTGGGTCGGTTAACCCAGCATAGAAGGCTTGCACCAATTGCCATTTTGGAATTAGATGGTGCGGACATTTCCTAAAAAGATCTTGAAATCTCTCCCAAGTCTCATAGAGTTGTTCCCCCTCACTTTGTGAAAAGCTAAGAATGGAATGCCTCATTAAGTTGGTTTTACTCACTGGATAGTACTTCTTTAAGAATTCTTGCTGCAGTTGAGCCCATGTAGTGATGAAATTTGCAGCAAGGGAGTTCAACCAATATTTTGCCCTTTCTTTTAAGGAGAATGGGAAGAGATGCAAATGGAGAGCATTGTCAGGAAAGCCCCTCTGCTTGATGGTAGAGCATATTTCAAGGAATTCATCACGGTGCTTATAAGGGTCCTTATTTTCAAAGCCATGAAAAGATGGAAGCATTTGGATGGTGCTAGATTTGATTTCATATTGAGCGGCCTCAATATTTGGCATCACTATGCAAGAGGGAGAAGCATAAGTGGTAGGGATGAAATGGTCCCGAAGAGTCATAGGAACCACATTTGGAATTTCAGCTCTATTATTATGAAATCCCTCATTTCCGACATCTCCAACATTTTCAGCCATTGTGTTAAATTCAGTTTCAAGTTCTCTTATGCTAGTAGATTCCCTAAGGTTTCTTCTAAGAGTTCTTTCAAGTGAATTTATATCAACTGGCGTGTCAAGAGTTGGTAAGGAAAGTGACCTACGGCCAAACATCAACAACACATAACACAATCAAGACAACAATTCGTCACCATCAACTCCACATACGATGTTCCCTTTCTCCTCAATTATCAAGATAGAAATGTAAATGGCCACGACAAAGACCGATGCTTGCAATTGAAAAAAAAAATAAATAGCCTCAACAATGGCTTCACAACTCAACTATATCTAAACTAAACACATGCAAGAGATTCACAACTTTGAAACTAGAGCTTTGAAAACTTACCTGAAGTCGTCTAGACTTACAAATTTGCTAGCTTTCCTCAGTAAGCCTTGAATATCTAAAATCTCACAAACACTCAAAATGTCACAATGATCAAAATAACACAAGAAAATATTCACAAAACACAATATGCACAATCAAACCAAAGGTAATCCTAAAACCTCGGTTGCAAAACCGTTTATAGTCCCCGACAACGGCGTTGAAAATTGATCGGTATGACAATTATACATCAACCTTTGCAATAGCACAAATCATTGTAAAATAGGGCTATTGGTCAAGTAAGTCGAACCACTGGGGCTGCCAGTTTATGGCAACTAAGGTTTTTAAATTCCCTTTAGTTTAATGAAGGATGTAAATAGAGATTTGTTGGTTTGTCACTAAAATTAAGAATTAAAATGCATAAAACACTAAAGTAAAAAGGTAGAGATAAATAAAAAAGGACTAAGGAAGTGAATCCACCTTTAACCCTATACACATGCTAAATAAAGACTAAATTGGGGATAGACAATATATAATAGTCAAGAATTATATAGCAACACATGATTGCCATATAATCATCAAGAAGTTCATTAAATCAAAAACAAGAATGATCCATCAAAAGTTTATACATTTGAACTACCTAAACTAGGGTGTAGCATCAAGCATACTCTCTTAAGCAAAAGATCATCAAGCCTTTAATCAAATGATGAAGCACATGAAACCAGGAATCAAGCATAAACCATCAAAGGAAATACCTAAGCAATGAACTATCAAGTTTCTCTATTAACATGCCATGAAAACCATTCCATGATCTCATTTCCATTGTCACTATGGAAGTGCAAGCAATATGATTAAGAGAAGTAACCATCTAAGACAAGATGAATAACTTAAAATAATCATTTATAGACATTAAAAATCCATTACAACAATTATGGGGCTCTAGATCATGAAATGACCAAAGAATATACATTGTTATCCCACAATATAATCTAAATTAGAACATGCTTACAAAGGAGGGGCTTCATCACCTCCCTAGATGAAGGTTTAGTTACCCGTGGATGCACTAGAGGAAGGAGGAAGCTTGGAGACTCCTTCCATTTTCGAGCTCAGCCCTAGCCACCCAAGAACTCTCCTCTCTAATCTTTCTCTCTCTAGAAATCTTGATGTAAAATGTCCTCCTTTTGAAATTCAAGCCTTCCTCTCCTTATCTACCAAAAATCTCCTCTTTCCCCCTCATTTCCGAGTTCCACTTCCCCAGGATGAAGCTAGACCATAGAAAAATGATAAAGGGACAAGGATCAGCTGGAAATTAGGGGTAGGTAAGCTGCCTTCTGCAAAATGGCGGGCGCCCGTGATGCACCAGCAGGTGCTCGCGGGGGCTCACATTTCCGAAGATGTCTCACACTTCCATGGGGGCTCACATTTCCGAATATGCGGCGGGGCCCCACAAAAGTAGGCAGTGAGATGGGCAATTTGGCGCAGCCTTCAGCCATTTTCTTAACATCTTTTGTTGATTCCGCGACACTGTCATAAAGTGAATGCAAGGCCATCAATTTCATACTCACGATGGCTTCAAAAACTATACGCATCCAACAGTCCCCAATAACGGCTAGCTTTGGTTCTTCAAAAGTTTGCTAACACCGTTCTTTTAACCACCTTCGGGGGAACCGCCTGAACAAGGACAAAATAAACGAATAAAGCTAAACTATACATTATAATCAATAACTGGACTCAACTAATGCAAATAAGGGCGCTTGAATATGTAATATTCGGTGCTTATCACCTACTTTAAATAACCATACTAGCAAACTCACATCAAATATCAAATGGGATAAGAATAAGTAACTCATGCATTCTATGGCAATAAAGCCCAAAATGAAAGAGAGAGATATGAGATCAAGCCCTATAGAAAACATGAAAGTAGAGTGACTACACAAAAGGGCACAATGGTGTAATTATTATATTTTTCTTTTTATGAAGCATAAAAAGAAACAAAATGCAAAAGATAAAAGAAAAATAAAAGCGCAAAAAGCAAAAGACACAATGTGCCGTGTGGGTGCTAAGTTTAATGTCTCTAGAAAGACAGAATGCTACTTTGAAAATTTATTTTTGGTGTTTTTTTTTAGACATAAGAAGTATGTACACAAACAAAAATAAAATGGTAAGTAAATAAAAATGCAAGGAAATAAAGAATGCGAAGAAAAAAAAACTTTTTTATTTTTATTTTTTATATTAGAACGATAAAAAATTGGATCAATCATTATGTGATCGATCCAAGCGTTCGCACGATGGGACAGAAGCTTGAAATTTGCAGGAGAGTTCGCATGACGGGACAGAGAGCTGAAATTTTAAGACTTTGAAAATTTTTCTAAGTGTGGAATCGAGATCGATCACAAGGACACTTGAATCGATCAAAGTGCACTTAGAACGATTGAACAGAAATGTTCGCATGATGGGACAAAAGCCTAATATTTGCAAGAAAGTTCGTAAGATAGGACAGAAAGCTTAAATTTTTTAGAACTTCAAAATTTTTCTAAGTGTTATGTTCACAGATCGATCTCAAAGCATTTTGATCGATCGAAGGCACTCTTAGATCGATCAAACCGGCACAAAATGCCTTATTTTGAGATGAAAGAACACAAAGATCCTATGTAAGGCCTCCAGTGATAGTACCAAAAAGAATGAGTAAAGAGAAGGTGGAAGAATGTACGAGATTTTTAGAGTTTGGAAACCCTAAAATGACTAGGTTTAACATCTCCAGTCGACGTTGAATTCATTCTTAGTCTTCATCATAAATGGGATCCATCAAGAGGATGGCTTCCACGTCTCTTTGAATAGTTTGCCCTTCAATGTAGGGCTTCAATCTTTGGCCATTTACTTTGAAAGTGTTCACACCTTTTAGGCTCTTGATCTCAACCGCCCTATGAGGGGCAACAGATATGATTTCATAAAGACCCTCCCATTAGGTGTCAAGTTTCCCGGGAAAGAGTTTTAGTCTAGAGTTGAAGAGCCATGCATTTTCCCAGGGCCGTAAGGACTTCTTCACAATATGTTTATCATGAAAAGCTTTGGTCCTTTCTTTATAGAATTTAGCATTGTTATAGGCATTATGTCTCAACTCCTCCAACTCATTCAATTGGAGTAAATGGTTCTCACCGGCCTTATCAAGGTCAAGATTAAGCTTTTTGATTGCCCACAAATCCTTATGTTCTAGCTCCACCGAAAGATGGCAAGGCTTTACACAAACAAGTTTATAAAGAGACATGCTAATAGGAGTCTTATAAGCCATCCGGTAAGCCCACAAAGCATCATTCAATTTTCTTGACCAATCCTTGCAGGTTGTGTACACCATTTTTTCAAGGATTTGCTTAATTTCCTGATTTGAAATCTCAACTTACCCACTTGTTTGAGGATGGTAGGGAGTGCAACCTTGTGAGTGGTGGAGTACTTTAAGAAGAATTGCCTCAAAAATTGATTGCAAAAGTGTTTTCCTTCATCACTAATCATTGCCCTTGGCATACCAAAACGAGTAAAGATGTTTGATTTAATGAATTGAACCACCATGGAATGGTCATTCGTTTTGGTAGCACAAGCCTCAACCCACTTGGAAACATAATTGGCGGCAAGGAGGATATATTAGAAACCATAAGACATTAGAAAGGGTCCCATGAAATCAATGCCCCAAACATCGAAGATCTCAATAACAAGGACCGAAGTCAAGGGCATTATGTATCTCTTGGACATTGATCCCATTTTTTGCAAAAATTATAGGCATCTCTATGAATTGTAGGTCAAAATAGACCACTTTAAAGAACCTTCAAGGCGGTCTTCTTTGCATTAAAATGCCCACCACATGCAAGAGTATGGCAAAACACTAAAACACTTGGAACTTCACTTTTTGGCACACATATTCCCACTATTTGGTCTAGGAAATATAGAAACAAAATGGGATCTTCCCAATAGTATTTTCGGATATTAGCAAAGAAACGGTCATTGTCTTATCTTGACCAATAAGTGGGAAGTTTGCTAATTGCAAGGTAATTCATAAGGTCGACAAACCAAGGCAATTTCCCATTGGAAATGTGAAAAAGGTTGCTTATCCGGGAAAGAATCATGAATTGGAAGACTAGGGGAAGATTCAACCATTAACCTAGAGAGGTGGTTGGCAACGACATTGTCGGAGCCTTTCTTATCCTTAATTTCAAAGTTAAATTCTTGGAGGAGAAGAATCCATCTTATTAAGCGTGGTTTACTTTCCTTTTTCACCAAGAGATGGCTAAGAGTGGCATAATCAGAAAACACAATTACCTTAGATCCCAAGAGATATGACCGAAATTTGTCAAGGGCATACACTACCGCAAGTAACTCCTTCTCGGTAGTGGAGTAATTTAATTAGGCTCCCGATAAAGTTTTACTTGCGTAGTATATGGCGTATGAAAGCTTACCCACCCTTTGCCCCAAAATGGCACCCATTGCATAGTCGGAAGCATCATACATAATCTCAAATGGTAATGACCAATTTAGAGGTTGGATAATGGGGGTAGATGATAGAAGAGTGCAAAGTTGATGAAAGGCATCTAGGCATGCTTGATCAAAGATAAATGGTGTCTCCTTGGTGAGAAGATTGCACAAAGGTCTAGAAATTTTGCTAAAGTCTTTGATAAAATGGCAATAGAAGCTGGCATGACTAAGGAAGGAGCGGAATTCTCTCACCGTAAAAGGTGGAGGCAATTTGGAAATGCACTTAACTTTAGCCTTATCAACTTTAATTCCCCTATGAGATATAACATGTCCTAGCACTATTCCCTCTTGAACATAAAGTGGCTTTTTTCCCAACTTAGAACAGGGTTTGTCTCATGACATCTTTTAAGCACAAGAGAGAGATTTTGGAGGCATGAATCAAAGGAGGATCCAAAGACCGAGAAATCATCCATGAAGACTTGTAAATATTTCTCCACCATGTCTTAGAATATTGACATCATACACCTTTGGAATGTGGCAGGGGCATTACACAAACCAAATGGAATTCGTCGGTCAGCAAATATGCCAAAAGAACAAGTAAAGGTGGTTTTCTCTTGGTCTAATAGATCAAGGGCCACTTGATTGTACCCCGAGTAACCATCTAGGAAATAATAGTATTTTTGCCCGGCCAATCTTTCCAAGATTTGATCGATGAAGGGTAAAGGAAAATGGTCATTCCTAGTGGCAGAATTGAGCTTGCGGTAATCAATGCATACACACCACAAAGTGGCGGTGCGTTTTGAGATTAGATCACCTTTGGCATTCTCCACAGCCGTAATTCTTAACTTTTTGGGAACTACTTGTGTTGGACTAACCAACTTGCTATCGGAGATAGGGTAGATGATCCCCGCAACTAATAGCTTTACGACCCCCTTTTTAAAACTTCTTTCATGTTGGGGTTCAATCTCCTTTGAGCATCTCTAACGGGTTTTTCATTCTCCTCCATAAGAATGTGATACATATATATGGAGGGGTCAATTCCCTTTAGGTCGACTACACTCTACCCAATGGCTTCCTTATTTTCTTTAAGAACTTCCAAAAGATCATTCTTTTGGTCTTTTTCAAGGTTTGAAGCAATTATGATCGGAAGAGTCTCTTTTGGGCCTAAGAAGGCATACTTAAGATTGGAAAGGGGAGGTTTAAGTTCAAGAATGGGTGGAAAGATGAGAGATGGAACCGATGAAGTGCTAGAAAGTGGAGGAAAAGGTTCTTTTTTATTTTTCCAAGGTGGAAAGTCTAAAGTAGCAACGGAGTCCATCAAAGCATTCATTTCGCTTATGGATCCTTTGATAAGTGCCGAATATTGCATATTCAAGCGCCCTTAATTGAATTAGTTAAGCCTATTATCCGATCTTTGTATATAGATTATCTTCACTTTTGTTTTTTTGCAGGTTTATTTACTAAAAAGAAAAAAAAAATAATGTTTTAAAGGTTTTCGAAGAACAAGTCATATCGGGCCTAAATATCAAGTGTTTTCCAAGAAGAGATGCCCAAATATCCAATAGATGTATTCATCACTGCAGAAGAAGGAAGCCAAGCCAAGCATCAGTCTCACGTTCGGACACCAGTACACACGTCCAGACGCCATCAAGCTACACCTCGCATCCAGACGCCATGCTTTGCGTCTGGGCACCAGCTTATAGACCCCTATTTTGAATTAGTCAAAGTTTGTTCCCTTTTAAATGGGAATTTGAATTTTGACAAGTTGGGTTGTTTGGAAACTCATTTTGGGATTAAGAGGGAGCAAAGGCTTGGATTTAATTAAGGAGTTTTGGATTCTAAAAAAATAGAAAGGGTGAGAGAGATTTTCCTTACGGTTTTATGCTGAGTTTTATAATAATGGGGCTGCAAGGGGAATCTTCTTCTCCTTCAATCCTTGAAGTTGCTACCATATCCATTGATAAGCGTCAAATATTGCATATTTAAGCGCCCTTAATTGCATTAGTTAAGCCCATTATTTGATCTGTGTATATAGATTTACTCCATTTTTATGTTTTTGTGTTTTTCAAGTCTAATTGTGAAAAAGGAATACAAATAAGGTTTTACAGGTTTTCGGAACATAAGCCATATCAGGCTTAAACATCAAGTGGTTTTCAAAAAGAGATGGCCCAAATATGCGATGAAAACTTTCAGCAACACATTTGGATGAAGAAGGACTCAATGGTCCAAGCTGAAGAAATGCAAAGTTGCCTTTGGGCATGCATCAGCACTTGCCGTCCCGATGCGAGTTCTAGCGTCCCAACACAAGCTCTACGCAAGCTCTTGCCTTCAGAACTGTGCATCTTTGGTAAAAAGGCCATAACTCCCTACTTCAAACTCCAAATAATGAACCATTTAATGATATGGAAAGAGGACTCAGAGCTCTATGTTTGGTATACTTTAATGGAAGTATAATTCCCATATTTCAGAGGTCAAAAATAGAGACCAAGAGGACACCAACGTGCTACCAGGTGGCAGAACCCAGCTTTGCACTCCTTTGGTATTTTGACCATAACTCTCTGGTTATAAATCCAATTGCTAAGCATTATTTTTTCTATGTTGAGAGGAAAGGCTAATTTGGAAAATTGATAGGTCAAAAATATAAAAGAATAACATGTTAATTCTGCCAACATGCTGAGTTGTCACACTTTGATTTAGTCAAAGTTTGTTTCCTTGATTTAAAGGGTGTCTCCAACTATTTTGTGATTCAAAGGCTACAAAATATGATCTCTTAGGAGGGTATTTTTATTTTATATATTAACCATCCATCATTATCTATCTCTAAGTTTTGATTGGGGAAGTTTGAATTCGAAAAGATAGAGAGGGAAATATTGAAAAAGAGAGAGGAAGAAAAAGGAGTCAAATTCTGAGCTCATGGAGATGGAGTCTTCATCATTAATGGAGGCTTACATCTTGCACATGAGAGGCTAACTCCCTTCCTAAGGATTTGATGTAACCCTTGCCAAGTAATTATGTCTTAATTGTATCTAAATTTGGGGAACTTTGCATATTTGTGATAAGTTTATAATCTAGAGATTACACTTTGATGTATTTGTGCTTCATTCTATATATAATCTTGTTGAGACTTTTATCTTGTCTTAGAAATTGTTTATTCATGATTATGTTACTTACATTCTTAGAGTGACAATAAGGATGAGATTATACAATGGTTATATTAGCATGTAATTAAGTATTTATATAGATTATACTTAAGGAAGATGGACCATGCTACACCTTTAGATTAATTTAGTTAAGTAGATGGCCTATACCAACTAAAGATAATCTATGATATTTAACTGATTTCATGTGTTACAACATACAATTGAAGGACCTTGATATGTCATGCCTAGGGAAGATGGTTCATACCACAACCTAGTTTAGGTGGATGAACCATGCCAACCAAAGATGGGCTATACTTAGTCCTAAAATGTATGATTTTCTGGAAGATATTATAGTTGTCTTGCATTTCTACATATCATGGTGACATGTATAAGTTGTTCCCTAAGTTAATTGCAATTAGGCATGTTTACAAGGCTTGTGGTGAAGTTATTTCCTTAACCCTTATCTTTATTATCTCATTTACTTATATTCAAATTCTATTTTAGTAATTTTAGTTAAATTCAGTTTATGTAAATAACAAGCAAAATAATCCAATAGCTTTCTTTCACAAATCAAAACGTAAATTAATCTTATAATCTTGATTGCCATAAGCTAGCATTCCTTGTGGTTCAACAATCCTTTATAACAGCCTTATTCTACATTGATATAAATATATGTGCTATTGTTATAAGTGATACTTTTAAAGCAGTACACATTTGTGCGCATCATCCATGAGGAACTAACTCCCTTCCT